TGGGTTGCGATTGATGAACGAACATCGGTGAATGTGGGGGTCCCTGGAAGTCTCATCTCGGCCCAAGCCAATTGGAAATATTGGTTCAAATTTTTGCAGTTGGATGGCCTTGACGTGAAGAAAAAGTAGTTGGCAGACTTCCCACCGGGTAGGCTGGATCTCAGACCCAGAAATTTATTGAACCATTGGTATTCTTCGGTCGTAACAGCCAGTTGCGCGGCCTCGTAGGCCTGATTTGTCTTGTGCGTCACAACCTTTATTTACACAGAGACCAAGCCGATTTACGCGGCTTAATTAATTTGGTCCCCTTAGTATGGGGATGGGGGGTTACTCACATTAATAACCAACGACAGGCCATCCGCTGACCGCCTAGCCCCGGTCACTTCTTGGATTAAAAGATTTTGGAAGACGCCTGGCCTATGACCGGTAATAAATACCAGGTAGGCAATTAAGTAGCCGTATAGCCGCCATTTGACCTTTCGTGTTCGGGGAGGAGGACAGATCATCTGATACAGAAACAGAGCGTGGGTTAGCGGAGCCCATGTCCCCCAGTCATTAACGCAGCGACCGCAATCAGATCACCTAGATGCTTGGGAATGATCGAGCCCGCCCGCTGATGACAGGTCAACAGGTCACATTTGGATATCAGCCTAGCCTCTTTTGCCCACCTCACAGAGCGTTCGTGGGCTGCGACTTTGCGATGCAGCCCGCGGGATAATGACCTTAATTCCCTCATAACTATGACCATGGCACGTGGCGTCAGCCGGCACGAGGTTGGTGGAGCCTCGTACACATACTGCAGGAACTGAATCACATGCTTTAAGTACTGAGAGCGGGTGGATTCAACTATCGGTGACCGGCCCAAATCTACCACCCATTCTCGTATTTTAGATGGGTTCTCCAAGAATAACAGGTCGTCTACCTGCTCCGAACCAGCGCTCATGAACTGCAAGAATGACCGAACGTGACCCACTTTCGTGGCCGCGTTATTTCGGGTCTTGGGGGTCGGATCGCTGCCAAGGATGTATCCCTTGTATTCGCAGACCAACTGGCCTGCCAAGCACACCACATACGCGGTCAAACTAGGTACAATAATCCGGGTCAATTTTAGCGTTACAGTACTCACGTAATCCCGTTACTTTGCCCGGAGACGAACCACGGACCCGGCTTGTATGAGGTTGGATCACGGCCTTTTCATTAGCCCTTAGCTGACTAAACATGCGGGTCAGATCAAGCAAATGCGCCCGCAACGAATTGACGTCGTCGGCCAAAGACTGCAGGTCGACCCGCGTTGTTGCCCCAGACCCATCACCAACCCTCTCCTCCGGCGGCGCTGCCGCCTCCTCCTCCTCATCCGACAACCGACTAACCACCGCCACTGATGGATTGCTGGACCATAGATCACGGAGAAACCGTTTAATTTCTGTACGCTTCGCCCAAGCCGTGACCTTTCAGGTGACGATCCATACGGGCTGGCCTTTTGAGGCAGTCCGGTAATGGACAAACGGTCTTATTTATGTCGAATCGGCCGGACGACAATTTGAGCAAAAGGAGCCGTTCTTGGGGGTTAAGTATACCGTGCGTTCACTTCAAATGTTGGGAAAGATCTGTGTAATCGCCGCCACACAACGCGCATCCCATACCCATGGTCAAGAGTGTTTATGCTGACGTGGCATTCGGCTTTTATACCCTCGGGCGCCCGGATGATTACACCCCTTCTTAAAGGAGCTGTGCCGTTGGTGGACCGCAACTTTAAAGGAATAGTCAAACCGAAAGGCCCCTAACGCTCTTTCAGCTGACAAAAGCTTGGATCGAGGGATGACTTTCAATGGATCGCAGCGACGGAGCTGCTCTGCCACGCACGACACCCCGACCCAGAATCAGGTCGTCTACGAGTCATTTAAGCACCGGGTTCCCCACAAACATGCGGTGCGTCACTGGAAGAGGGGGCGGCGCTCGTTCTAGCCGCGCCCCCGGTTCCTGTCACGAATGGCTCTCCGCGCCAGGGGCCCCCCCGGAGAGGGGCTTCCCGGTTACCCGGGGCCTATCGGAGATCATGGCGCTGCAGTATCGCTGCTTTTAGGCGGGATTCTGACTTAGAGGCGTTCAGTCATAATCCCACAGATGGTGGCTTCGCACCAGTGGCTCTTCAGCCAAGCGCACGAACCAAATGTCTGAACCCGCGGTTCCTCTCGTACTGAGCGGGATTACTATTGCAACAACGGTTCACATCAGTAGGGTAAAACTAACCTGTCTCACGACGGTCTAAACCCAGCTCACGTTCCCTGTTAGTGGGTGAACAATCCAACGATTGGTGAATTCTGCTTCACAATGATAGGAAGAGCCGACATCGAAGGATCAAAAAGCGACGTCGCTATGAACGCTTGGCTGCCACAAGCCAGTTATCCCTGTGGTAACTTTTCTGACACCTCCCGCTTAAAACCCCAAAAGCCGGAAGGATCGTGAGGCCCCGCTTTCGCGGTCCGTACTCATACTGAAAATCAAGATCAAGCGAGCTTTTGCCCTTCTGCTCTACGGGAGGTTTCTGTCCCCCCTGAGCTCGCCTTAGGACACCTGCGTTACCGTTTGACAGGTGTACCGCCCCAGTCAAACTCCCCACCTGACGCTGTCCCCGGGGCAGGTCGCGCGCCCGGGAGGCTGTTCCCCAGGGCGCTTGACACCAGAAGCGGGGAGAGCACTGACCAAGAGCTACCCAACCTCCCTGCCTAACCGGGTAAGTGAGGAATCGATAAGAGTAGTGGTATTTCACCGGCGGCCGGCCCGGGTAGCCCGGGGGCCTCCCACTTATTCTACACCCCTCATGTCTCTTCACAGTGCCAGACTAGAGTCAAGCTCCCGCCCCAAAACGGTGCATGTTCGATGGGGCTCAAACAATCCCCTTCTTGGGGTGGAAAAAGTGAACGTGAAAGAAAGGCTGTGGAAAAGCTCCCGCAGGCCAGAGCAGCAATAAAGGGGGGAGGGAGTGAGGTGGGACACCCCTTCCCCTACTCGAGTCGTAACAAGAGAGAGAAGTGTCGAACCGCTGGCCGGGGCAGCGATGAAGGGGCGGGAGTGCATTGTCGAACGGGACACCCCCCTCTGGTTCCTTTGAAAAGGGGGGGGGAGTGAGGTGGACACCCCTCTCCCCCCTACTTGAGAGTCGTAACAAAAGAAGGCTTGAACCGAATGGATCCCCGTAGGGCATCGGCTTACACCCCCTGGTGCGGGGGGGTATCCTTCCTCTTTAAGAAATACGGGTCCACCAACGTCATGACGCAGAAGTGGACACCGCCTCCGCCCGCTTATCAACCGCCGCACCTGGCGTGTGGGCCCCTTTCCCCCTCTGCATTGGCTCTAGCACGGCCATGGCTGAATGTGCCCTATGCTTCAACGTCTACAGTCGGCTTGCTCCTCACCTGACGGCCGTTCACTAGGTGACCAACTCGGACGAGAAGTGGCTGCTGCTCGCGCTGGCTGCCGGCCACGTGGACACGCGGAAGACGCCGTGCCCAGTCCCGGGCTGGCGTCCTGTGACTAGACAGGCACTTGAGGCAGCACGCGGAGCTCTCGACCTCGGGCCGGAAAGAGGCTATGGGGAGGGCAAAACGTCGGAAAGTAGCTCGGGAGTTGCAGTGACTGCAGTCCACCCAGCCGGCAATCCCCTTCGTGTCCCGGCTAGCCCCTTCGTGTCCCGGCTAGCCTCGTCCTCCGAGGAGGAGCGGGACTCGGAGGGCCCAGAGGCCGGCCGCCCGTGCGCCGACCGCGGCTGCAGGCGTGACACGGAGCGCATACAGGCTCAGCTAACGGACCTGGGGAAGCAGGTTACCAAGATGCGGTCCACCCTGCTCCAAATCACACGCCTCTACTGGAAGTTAAGGAGGGGAGAAGGAGGAGGAAGAGGGCGAGGAGAACCAGGTCACCTACTGCATCATCGACTCCCGGGTGAGGGGCACCCGGAGGTCCTACGCCCCCCGAGCCTCCGGAGGCTTTGGAACCCCATGCCTACCCATTCCCGGACCACGTCCCTGTGCTGAGTTGAGTATATTTCAGGCATGTCACTGTCGCTGTGCTGGGTGTGTGTCTTCGGGGAAGTTGACTCTTGGTTGTGCTCGTTCCACAGACCTTCTCTTGGGGGAGTTCGAAGGCTACCAACTGGGCAGCGAGCCCACCGCCCGCCTGCGGAACAACGTCACTTCGAAGCTAGGGAGAATCAAAGCCTTCCTTGGTTACATGGCCAGGGGCACTGCGGAGCCAGGGACCTTCCTTTTCCTCAACCAACCAGCCTGAATCTGAGCGTGGACCGCCCTGCTAGGTCAGACGCGGATGGCCGAGCCCACCAGGCAGCACTATCTGAAGAACGTGGCCCAGTTCCTGGACTACCTATCGGAAACCCCGCTGGCCGCCTCTCCAGCACGGCTCTGGTTCTGATTCGAAGGGAGGTCAGAGCCCTCATTCGCGGCATATGCCGGCGTGTCGTCGTGCACGAGGTACGGACCAAGCAGGTGAAGGAAAACAGACTGATCCCCAAGGCCAGCCTAGTGCGCTGTCACCGGACCGCTGGGAGGAAAATTCCTGCCCTGCTAGGTAAGCCAGCCTTCCGCCCTTCCAACAATTCCCCCTGTTCGTTCTTCCGGGGCACCAACAGCCCTTGGTTCACCCACGTCTGTCTGCCCCTCTCCCCCGCGAATGGGACTTATTTGGGGGGAAGGGGGGCAGACAGACGTGGCTGGGTGAACCAACGGCTGCTGGTGGCCTAGGTTTAATTTCCAATCTGTCCTATCCGGACCACCAGCAGCTCTTGGTTGGGCTGCTGGCGCCCCGGAGAACAAGTCAGTAGCCAAGAGCTGTTGGTGAACCACAGAGGAAATAAAACCGTCGGTGGTCTAATTTGGCTAATGTCCTTCATCAGATAGCCTCGAGTCTAACCCAAGCACTAGGCAACAGTGGCGCTTTTATGGCTTTCTGACTGGTTACCTAACTTCCATCTCTGGGCACGCTGTGGAGTCTTCCAGAATCTCACAATCCAGGAGGTTGAAGAGGCCTCCAGAAGCCCCGACGAGTCTGCTTATGTCATTAACGTGAGTATGGCGCTAGTAAGGTGGGGGTCACCAGTAGCATGCTCTCACTCACTGCTTGTTCTCTGATGGCAGATTACCACGCACAAGACAAACAGAGCCTTCGGGGCGGCGCAGTTGTCCCTAAACAGGGAGGAATACAGCTGGTTCCGCAGGTTCTTGGCGCTGCAGGCTGGTCTCCCTGGAGGGAGCCAGGCTACCTATTTCTTTTTCACTTCCAGAGCCAGTCCTTGTCGGACCCTGAACAAGTACTTTCAGTCTGCTTGGATCAGTATGGGCCTTCCAGGCAAACCCACCTTTACTGAAGTATGGACTGCGATCGCGACCCATGTGAGTATGCATGTGACGCCCCTGTAACTACCAGCGGCGGCTTCGGTCCTAATCAAGCTTCTGTCTCTCTCCGACGCAGGCAAAGAATGCACACTCTTCAGAGGATCGCCGCAAGGTGGCGCAATTCATGTGCCATGACACTTCAACCTCAGATAAGTTCTATGCACTTCACCTCGGACTTCTCCAAGCACGCGAGCGCCGCAGACTGTTTGAAAGGGCCCTGGTGGAGGAGGAGGATGGGGAGGCAGCAGGCACTGAAAGCCCCCCGCGGAAAGGGCACAAGAGGACAGAGACTCCCGTCTCTCCCCTGGTAAAATCAGATTCTCTTTGGCGTGGACAGCAGAACGTGTGGCATTGGCTAACTGCCCTTTATGTGTCTCTTTTCCAGGAGGGAACCAGCAGGAGGACGCTGCCATGGCGTCCTGCCATGGCGTCCTGCCAGGGGAAAAAGCCAGGGCGCTCGTCCACTCAAACCAACAGAAGACTCTGAATCGTCCTGAATAAATATTGTACAACTTAACAGTCAAATGGTGTTCAGTGTCTTCATTATTCCTTTTATTTATTATCTGTGTGGTAAAAGTAGATTCAGTAGGGACAAATGAGCCCTGTCTTCTCAGTTCAAAGCTGGATGCTTGCTGCGTCCAGGTTCTGCCTTGGCTACGTTCCGATTGGGACAAATTATCCCTGCCTTGTGTGTTAAAAGTGACTCGTGGGATGCCCCCGTCCAGGTTCAGCCTTGGTTGATAGCTCATAGGGAGAATTCATCCCTTTTGCAGCACAAGGAGGTGCTGGGCTGGACAAATCTGTCCAGGTCTGCAAATGCTTTGAACGCCCAGATGGCCTTGAGTCCAATTCTGTATATTAGCAAGCTTCTCCCGGGACAGCTCGGTCCTTTGAGATGCATAAAGAGGTCAGGACAGGGCAGCTGTGGAGTGGAGGTTAACTTTATGGAGTAAGTGACCACAGTAACTGACTCATTTATTTACTTATTTAACAATAAGTCAATAGGTCATATTTCTTAAATAAGAAACCTTTTGGATCAGATAGTTGTAAGTTACCAAACACTGTTAACCTACCATTGTGGAAAATGTTTGATGATGATGATAGCTAATAACAATAAACCATTTCTGCCGTTGTGGAAATGTTAGCACAAAACGTTATCAATATAACGTTTTTAGAAGGGTCTCTTAACGTTGTTAACGTTCTTGTAACGTTGTTAAAAAAATGTTCTTAGAACAAAGTTCTCGAAACGTCTTCAGAACGTTATTTGTAATTCATAAACGTTGTCATAATGTTGATGAAAAACGTTCTTTGAATAAAGTTCTTGGAACGTCTTCAGAACGTTATTTGTACTTCATAAACGTTGTCATAATGTTGACAGAAAACGTTTTTAGAACAAAGTTCTTGAAACATCTTCAGAACGTTATTTGTACTTGATGAACACTCTCATAAGGTTGATGGAAAACGTACTTAGAACAAAGTTCTTGAAACGTCTTCAGAACGTTATTTGTTCTTGATGAATGTTGCCACAATGTTGATAAAAAACGTTCTTAGAACAGTTCTCGAAACGTCTTCAGAACGTTTTTGTACTTCATCCCAGATAGCAAAATACACTCGGGCCAGTTCCGGCTAGATTGTTGCCTGCCGGAGACTAACCCCTCGGCCCAACTTCGGCTGCCGGACTCGGGCCGGATGCCTGTGGACTCACTGCCCGATTCCGGCCCGAATCAAGCGGGCCAGATGCGGCGGCCGTAAGCGAGCCGACGCTGCGCATCCGCGCCGGAATCGGCGCGAGGGTAATGTGCGCTGCGGCCCGGAGCTGGCGCGACTCCGTATTTAAACACCTTATAAAACCTTTTGGTATTACATTGGTACTTGATATATGGTATTACAACCATTTGAATTTATATAACAGCAAACACAGGCTATAATATAAACACAAAGTGTAAGCACTGCGTTTAACCTTTGAATAAAGTGCAAACTGCATACATATTCTGTAACGAAAATAATCAGACAAATGACAAAATAAATACATGTTAAACGTTTATTGATTGCATGAAAAAAATAGTACTAAAATTTTATAAATAATTTTGTAGTGCACAAGAATATCAATATAAAAACAACAATAAAACAACACAATAAAGACACACAGAAAGATTTAAACAAAAACTCTAAAAACTACACACAAACACAGATGTTTTTTAAAACAACCCTGTTTTCCCAATAGACTTGAATTAAAAATTTGTAAAAAAAACAGCTAAATTTTATATAAACCTAAATATAGAAACCAATTTAAGATATAGCAAGAAACATCTTAAAAATACCAATGACAATCCGTAAAATATCCAAGTCAAACTTGTAAAAAGTACTGCAGAATTCTGAAGAAACATCTTGAAACATTTTTTAATAAAACATTAAAATAATAATAAACAAACAAATATATATATATATATATATATATATATATATATATATATATATATATATATATAATTGCAGAAGTATAAAGTCAAACTTTTTTTTTTAAATAAACTTGAACAAAATCAATTGCACAAACAGCAAGACATGAGTGAGATGATTATGCATTTCATATATATACACGTCTTGTGCAATTTTTTATTTATAATTTTATTTGTATTACATTTATTAAAAATGTATCAAGATGTTTCTTTAGAACACACACACACACACATATATACATATACATATATATATATATATATAAATGCAAATGAAAGAAACAAATTGTTCAAGTATCAGGGAACATCCTAATACACTTAAAATGTTGTTTAAAAAATAAAACAAAATAGTGATGTAGACATTTGACACATTAGCTTTCTCTTCTTTCTTCCTCCATCCCTGTCAGGGGCAAGTTGTAGCTACCTTGTAATGCATTTTTCCACTTCTTTATCAGTGGCGTGGTATGGACATTTGTCCTCACTCCATCTGTGATTAAAAGATAAACAGATAATTAGTAGTGAACAAGTACTAATGTAAAAAAAAGAAAAAATTAGGAAAAAAGTAGGCTACCTACGAAGCAAAAAAAAAAAAAACAATAAAAAAACAAATAAACTTAAAACACTTTGAAATTAGCAAGAGCTTGAACTTACCAGTTTCTTCATTTGTTCAGGCTGCTCCTTTAGTTGATTTTCAAGCTTTTCCAAATCAAATTGGCCAAAGGAAGGTCAAATGTGTTTACA